ATATATAATTAAATAACATTTTTAAAATAGTATTTTTACACTTTATTTTACTGAAAGCTAACATTCATTTTCAGTCTCATCTCTACAAGTTTCAGTATTCTGAAGAGGTTACCATATTACTAAGAAAAGGAGAGATATGTAACTACTGTAAAAAGGAAATGCTGCCATGTAGATGCCAATTTAGGTTGTTTACTAAAAGGTAATATACACTTTAGTTATTTAAGTTTAACCGCATAATTTTGACAAAATGGCACATTAAAAAGAAATATTGTTACAGTTATATTAACAGATTTTTTTCCATGATCAAGAACTATATAGTATAGCACAAGTATTTATTAGCTGTTTTGAAATGTATACCACTGTCTTCTATAAAAGGAAACTTTTTTTTTTCCCTAGGCAAATACTGTCTCATTTTTTTTCATGCTTAGATAATGTGTTGCTGGTTACTTCACACTGGTCCTGTGACCAACCCTCAAAAAAATTACAAAAATCTGCTTTATTACAGCAAACACAGCTTCTCAGTTAAGCCAGAATACAGTGTTTAGGCATTTTAAGTAATATGTAGAGTAAAGAAAATGCTACAGTGCTTATTTTGAGGCTTAGATTTATCTCATCATGCAGTTAAAGTACAAAAAGTTAAACGGACATCCCTGGTTTAAGTTACACAGTAAAGTCCAATAGATCCACCTAATGGATAAAAAGTATTAAAAAAGGGTGGATATGTGCCAGACCGATTAGTCAGCTACCTGAAGGATATATAAAGCACACTGTCACATACACAATAATCATACTTGTACATGACTGTCTTACTCCAGTCATGTAAAGAGAAACAATACTCATCTACTGTTTGCATGGTCAGACCCAGGTCAATCAGACTTAATATGCAGGCAGATCAGTGCTTCCTAACTTGCTGACAACAGGTTGACTACTAAAGCTGGTTTTCCAACGCAAAGGACGGTATCCTGACAGGCAGCAGATACTGTTTCTTGCTTCAGAACAACAACAGGTTCCTCTTTGGTTTTATTACTCAGTGTTAGTTCTAGGGAGGACTGGAGGCAACAAGCATGCATTATTTGCTTTCAAATTTCCTGACTTAGGAGACTTCAAGTATTTCTGAGTCCACGTAGAGCATATACAACATTCAGGACAGATGTTCAAAACCCATGCAACCTCTGTTTTGTGATAGAAGTTTGATTGTTTATTTTTAAATTAAGAATTTAATTATTCTCAGTCTTCCTAGGAGAGAAGATCTTATCACTAAAAATTGCTTACCTTCAGTACAAGAAAAAAAATCTTGTTCTGTGAGCAGCTGCCATGCTTTCAGACATATTTCTGACTTTAAGATAATTAACAAAGCCTCGAAAGAACAGGAGAAGTCCTGAAAGTGTAGAAAACGCACAAAATGAGGTGTATCAACCTAAGTACACACTATGCCACGTTATTCTTATTAAAATAAATTTTTTACAATCGAGGTTGTATATACAAAGTGAGGTCTTTATGCATCATTCACAAATTCAACAAGCAAGTCTTCTGCTTTTATGTTGTAATATTAGGATTCAGTCTTACGGAAGGCTTTTCAGAAATTTTACACTCATTCTGGGTTCAAGTATTGTCTGCTAAAATGACTGCATGAAAGAATGAAAAAAAAGAAAAAAGAAAGAATACATACTGCACATTCTTTTCAAGTAGAATTCTTAAAATAAGTTACTAATGTCTTAGAAGACTACTCGAACCACAAAATATACCTTTAGAAATGTCTAAGATAAATGTATTGCAAGTCAAAAGAGGAGAAAGACAAAAGGAAAAAATAAAAAGAAAGACAGTACAGATTGCTCTAGCAACAAGCCAATAGCAAATTATAGTAGATTACGGCTTGAGATTTAACCATCCAGGAAAATACATGTGGTCCAAGAGGAGGAAGAACAACAGTCAATTCAAAGAAAATTACTCAACATGTGTTATGATTACATTTACAACTCCACATTTCAATTATTTTTAAATATTTAAATTTAACTGCATTCGAAAGACTATTTCAGCTCTGGTAAGAGGAACAAGAGATACAGAATAGTCACACAGAAGGTACAATTGCAACAATGGAAATCACTAACATGATGTTGTCAACATCATTTTATGAATTCAGAGATTTGCTGGACATCTGAAAAAAACAACCCAGAAAAACACATTGTTGAATAGTGGACACAGCTCTTTGGTCCATTTTCCTCCACTAAAGTAAACGTCAACAGATAAATCCAGTCATCAGCTGGATCAGGGAGAATCCAACAAGAGATAAAACAATCTGCCCAAAAAGTTGGAGGGCCGAAATATGAATTCCACATCCAGTGGAGAGAAACATGAGCCTAGAGAGCAATCTTCCTCATTTAATGAACACGTAGGTACCTTGAAGATATATGCTTATGTGTATACATACACGTATACATAAAGATTCAAATTAAAATCTAAATCGAAGCTTAACAAATTCAGCAAAGGATTTAATCCTTTTCATCATCTTACATGCTAATAAACAATCTCTATGGTTACACTGATATTTTGCTATGTGATGCACTTTTTCTTCCTGCTCTCCAGGTCGAGATTCTTGATTTTTTTTTAAATTTTTTTTTCCCTCTGCTCATTTCTTCTCTAAATGCTTTTTGCTTGTGAATTTTTATTATACTTTCTTTTTTGCTTTTTTAAAACCAAAGCCTCATTAGGAGACAAAACAAAACCCAAACACAGAGAATACTCTGTTAACCACTGGAACTTTGACCCAAGCCAAACACATTTCTGTGATTAAGGTGAATTCTACACAGAGAAGAAAGCACTAAGATCTGGATCAAAGTCTACAACAAAAGCTGCTACCCAGACGTTACCAGAGATAGTCCCACATTCAACTGAAAAGCAGCTGAAACAGCAAAAGGTGGGCAGGCAGCTCTTAAGCTGCTTGAAAACATACTTTCTGCATTACACATGTTGGAAAACCAGTCCAAGTTCAACCCATATTTTATATTTCTTTGTTTAGGGAAGGAAAAAACCCCATCACTTTCCATTGTGTTCCTCAAAAAGAAACATTGGCTAACGTTTAAATTTAAAAATTAGAATTGTCTCTCTCATCAATTTGTTCACTGTACATGACAGCTCCTTGGAAGTAGACCACTTCACTTTTCCGTGAAGCGTGAGCAGATTTTTCCAGACGTTGAAAGAAGGGAAGGGAGCAAAAACAAGTAGGTGAACACCAAAAGAGAGGAGAAGGCGGCAATAGGTGGGCTCAAGTATTTCAAAAGACTATGCAAAAGAAATAATCCAACTGAGTCCATTCACTTCTGGAGAGACGCAGCACATGCTACTTCACGTGCTCTAATGGAAAAGTTATCCAAAACAATAAAAGGCAGATCTGGTTGGCATTGCTCCCGTGACTTGATAATACTCTTCCATGTCCTGCTAAGTAGCTCTGTTGGGTTAAATCCTTCTATGGTGTTCCAGCAATCTTGGTATATCCACTTTACCAGTTTAAAAACACTTTTGGCATATTTCATGCAAAACATTCATAAGACAAGGGAACGTTGACTGCTGGATGCATACTGCATGCCTCACAGTGCCTTTTACTCCAAGGCATATTATAAACTTTGTGAGTTAAAGAAAAAAAAATTATCTTGAAACAATTAAAACTGAAAATAAGGCGCTCCTTCCTAAGTCTAAGTGAGCTAACTTCTGAACAAGTGCTGCAAAAGACTAGTAAAAAGAGAAAGTACAAATGCACAGCTTTTTCTATAGACACGGTGGGGGAAAATGTTAGGGGAAGAACACACCATTTTCATCCAAGTGAAAAAAGTGTCAAATCTCAGACACCACAAGGGTGTGTTTTAATTAAAGATTTATCTGGAGATATCTGTACATATGAAGAGTCACTTCACTTCCTACTTAAATACAATCACCTCAAAGAGAATATGAAAGCATTCAAGGGACCGATGCTGTGACGTGTTAAACGTTTGCAGTTTCTACATATCTCAAGCATCCAAGTGCACAACAGTAGAGCAAAATGAGTATTAAGAAGTCTGATGAACGCCCTCAAAGTTTACTAAAAGGCAGACAGAGAAAGTTTTAGGAAACATCATTTAAGATTTCTGGCATTTCCTGTGAGATAAATAGCGAATCACAAACAGTCACAATCTCAGTGTTGGGTTTGTTGTTTTTGTTTTTTTTCTTAAGATTTACTCAACATTTCATTCTAACATTTGCTGTTAGCCATTGGAGTCAATTGACTCAAAGGGAAGAGTGCCACCTACTGAACCAGCAACAGTTTACTATATTTCCAGAGCTAGAAATTAAAATGGATAGTAGAATTCACTTCTGTAAGACAAAATCATTCCAGATTCTATATTCAGATTACAAAATCAACAGCAGGAAAAAAGGTGTAGTGGTTGGGGTTTGGTATATCCTATTTAAAAACAGACAGAAGAGCAGAATTTAATGCATATAATAAGACTTTGAACACGGGCAGACAGACCTCTTAAGAGAAAGCTGACATCATGGGAACACTGTGATCAGAAAGCATGAAGCCATTCTCTTGTCTGACTGAGAAACTACTGATGCAGTATGCATTTCAAAGGACTGAAAAGGACATTTCATGACCTATGTACAAGACAGCAGACTCCACCTTCCTAGGATCAGTCACATTGCTTAGAATTTAATACTTGACATACAGGTTTATACCTGTATAGGTAAGTGCTACGTTTACAGGTAAGTACTAGGTATCACTTGCTTTTCAGTATGTTCTCTACATAAAGCCAAAGTTCTATTACACAGTTCCGCACCCCTAGATCAGTAGAAGCAGCTTAAAAAGCACAAATTACAAGTCTCAGGTATGTACATAATTACATATGTAAAACAAAATTTTCTGAGTTGAAGGTTATTTGAATAGTTCACGGAATACCACCACTATGGTAAGCAATAACTCACGAATACTATGGAAATAAAAACAACACACAAAACTATCAGTAGCTAAAGAAAAACACATAGCTAAACGTGTTACAGAACTCTTACTTACAATGACATGATTCATCTTTAGTACTTCCACATCAAACCAGAAATGTTTTCAATTGCCACTTACCAAGTACAAGAAATATCCACCAAAGCCAGTACTGTCCATTGAAATATCCAGTAAAATAATCTGAAAACTGAAATACATACATGAGGCTTAGCTGCAGTAATACAGATGACAGACATATTTAACGCACTATGCAAACACAGAAAACAGAGGAAAAAGCAAATTTAAATAAAAGTAATATATTCCACTAAAATGAAAAACTGATATTTGTGCAGCGGTTTAATATACAAATAACACTTTCAGCGTCAGCTGGTCTGTGGCAAAGTTATTTTAAAACCTCTAAAAAACGTGTATGTGTATATATATTTAAATACGTATACACGTATTAAAAAAACCTTGTATTACTCACAGAATCATCTGATGTTTTCTATCATAATGAATCACCACTTGTGGATTTTCCTTTCCCCCCCCCAATGCCTGCCATCCCAAACACATTACAGCAGCCTGCTGCTTTAGATATTAACACCAAAAGCCACATTAGTTTAATCTTATCAGACAGGGATGTTCTGCTGACCCCTCAAAAGAAGAGCTTTTGACCTTCTGTATACCCCCTACTGTTAATCGCTGCCAAGAATACCAGCCCCATAAAGACCCCCAACTCATTAAAGTCTTTTCATTTTCAAACCAGCATTCAGTTCCCAGCAGCGAGCTGAACACCAACTAAATGAACCTTGAAGTGGCATTTCAACTGTTCCTGTTAGTGACCACGGTAGACAGTTTTGTCCTCCCTGTGATGTGGGAGGCAGCTGGAGGGCAGGGTGTGATGGTATTGGAGACAGGTATCTGTGCCTTTACCAGACTCCAGACTGCATGCTTCACTGATAAAAAGGCTAACCAAACATCTCCAAAACTCACATAAGTAGTAGGAATGGGGAGATGTGTGAAAAGTTGCCAGAAGGAATAAAATAACCTATTTAGTAGCTCTGCACACTTTTCATACGCTTCCCATCCTACTATCATTCAGAATGCTTACTGCATCCTGCCACAGTGCTTCCCATTTGCCACTTCTAGGACACTTCAGTAGTATCAACCAAGAAACCATGTAATTCAAGCAGGTAATTCAGGTTTTTTTTAAGAAAGAAAAAAAAAGAAAGAAAAAAAGAGAAGATACTGAGCCACATATGCAACCAGATAAAAATCCAAGACATTTAAAGAACTCTAGATATAGGGTTTTTTTTTTTCTTCAAGTAACTGTGCACTGAGAACTACACGTTTTCTCCAGAATAAAGCCAGATCATGTGAATTCTTTAAAAGTTTAATCCTGTACTGTATTCATTTCTATGGGCAATCCAAGAAAAAAAAAAAAATCAAGAAACAGAAATGCTAAGTTGAACTAAAGAATTGGTACTTATACTATCATTATATAAATACTAGCATCTCTATGACTTGGCAGAGTAAGCATTTCATATTTTGACACTTCATTAAAATATCAAACGAATAGTCAATTCCCAGGAAGCTGACAGCATTATTAATCCCGTCTCACTCGATAGTCAGTATTTTCAATTCTCTAAACATATATACCAATACATTTTTTTTAAAGTTACAATTTCATTTAATTGGAAAGAAGATTTACTAAAACCAGTAATCAAATACTGGCCTATGTGCCTTACTCTCACACTTCCTTTAGGCAGAGGCAGCCATGGCTGTAGAATTTCCTCAACAGCAAAATTGTGCTTTTATTAATCTTTCCCCCCTCCCCAGTAAAAACTGATACAGAGAGAGTACACGTGAACTTGGACTGTTTAGACACTATAAAGTTTTGCACTCGAGACCCTGAGTGAAGAAGGGTAGCACAAGCCTTCGGAGGAGCTAGAAACAAAGGAACAGAACAATTTTGTGCACAGACACATGCTGGTGTGTCACCATTAAAGCAAAATTGTTGGCATATACCTTACGAGCTTTCTGCTTATTTTCTGCTCCCTCTAGAAAGGGAGACAACATAAGAAGATGATAATTGTCACTACGAAAAAACCCCACCCCTGAGGTCTTGGAATTAGTCAGCTCTAATATTTTGGAATTAGTAACAGATTATATACAAGAATTTAAATATAGTCTAGGACACAGTAATTCTTCAAGGAAGTTTAGCATATATTAATTTTTGTTACGAGCGCATTTTCAAGCGGACAGGAATAATAAAACTGACACAATGAGCAAGTTCTGCCCTCTGTTTAGCATGCCTCAAGGGAAGCTGAAAATATCCCAAATGAATCCATAGTTAAAAAATTCATGTCTTCTCACTCCCTAAAGATAAATTCCATCCCAAACCCTGAATTCCAACTAAATACACCAGAATCACATCTGGTCCAGCAGCATTCCCCTGCCCTGGGGAAGAAAAAAAAATATACAGGAAGGATCATGCAATCTCTTCTCTCTACAATCCTTGTACTATCGTGCTAAGAGCAAATCAAGTTAAGTTACTAGCACACACAGAGAAAAAAAATAAAAGAAATTCAGAGTTGGCAGGGCATAAAAGATAACTAAGTTATCCGAGATCTATTTCTTCATTAGAGAATTTTAATGATATTTTAAATGTTGTGTCTCCCAGACATGTAGAATTCAAGTTCAGAAAGAATTACATTTCATCTAGCATCCACTTAGTCAGCTACGTAACTTCCATTTGGCTAACATACCTTTCTGAAAAGTATCTAGTCTTGCAGTGAAAATATCAAGAAATTGAGCATCTACGAGGATAAAATGTGACTACATATTCAATTTTGACTTGATTCACTGTTTATCTTACAAGGAATGAAAGAATCATATACAATGAAGAAATGTTTTCTGATCCCCCCCTCCACAGATAGGCTGAGCCATTTATAAATCTTTCATATAGGACACTATAATACCAGTGACATTTTAGGTACTTGCTCTACTTCTTCTGTATGCTTTTAAATATCTGTGCAAAAAATGAGTCATTCTGCATTTATTTTAGTGGAAAGATGAACATAAAATGCTATGTCAGATAAAAATAGATTAAGCTTCGTCATTAGTAAGCATATATGAAGATATAGCAAGTAAATTCTCTACTAAAGGGGAAGTTAGAGAAAATTCTAAGCATTGTGTTAAGCACTGGAATTTAATTTACTGATTTTTAATTCAATTATTATATATCCTTGTCTACGTTGTTATGGTTTGGTTCTATAAACAGAGTCCGTACAGTGTGAATCAAGAAACATACCCGTACAATGAGAATCCATTTGATCAGGGAGAGACCAAATCCACAGATTGCACCATACCTTCCAGCTATGGTATTTGTTATACAGAAGGATAAACAAAATCCAATCCAGTTGAAAATAAACGCCACTATAAAATAAAAGAAACAGTAGCTTCTGTTAATCTGTATAGATAAGCAAACAGACTTAACATTAATTTCACTTTTAAACTAATAAGGACATGCTTACACAGTCAGTAATTCCCTTCCGGTAATTCAGGCTTTCAGAGATTGACTTTGAACCCAGACATTCCCCATGGTATAGTCACTTAATAACAAAGCAAATGGTAAACAGGCTGGAACCTACTACTTTAAACAAGAGAAAATTCCAACTTAAAAGAAAGCATTACATTGCTACAGAAATCTAACCAGATGACACTAGACAGGAGGGGTAAATGCAAACAAAGGACTATAACATACAAGACTTGGATTAAAACAAAGAAAAAAAACAACCTTGCTACACTTTTATAACCAAAAAATATAGTTATATGCACACATACGTGCATGTATCAAGGCTGCATATTCAGCTTTATCCAGTTTGGATCGAACAGAATAAAAGTATCCGCTCTTGCTCTGTAAACATAGTACAGAAATGAAGATAAGTTGAGAAGCTGATGTTTCACTGGTTACTGTCTTCTCTTCTCTTTTAGATCTACATTCAAGCATAAGACGTAAAAAGCCTTGGAAGTTTTACATAGAAGCTTAAGAAATCAAGAAACAAAAAGGACATAGAGCATAACTACCACTGCTACTTCAATTAACACTTTCACACAACTCTCAGTAATTTTACAATTTAAAGTGTCATATCTGCATACATACTTGGCAATCAACATCATCATCTGTATTGACTTCAGTTTGTGTGCATTAGGGCAAAGTGTGGGAATTCTCAATTAAGTGATGTCCCAGGTTTGGGAGTAAGTGAGGGCAACTTAAAAAAAAAAAACAAAAACACCACCACCACCAAACAGAAGAGCTGGGGGAGCTGGCGGAAGATGACAATTCAGGAGTTCTGGAGAGGACAAGACGGTGGAAAATTGAAAACATTTGAGAAACCCACAATAAACACAAAAACCACTGAAGAGACAA